CAAAAACATAAAAAAAAATCTGCCCTTAAAGTCAGGGATCTGATTCAAGACAGATTTCAAAATTTCCTCCTTACAACATTTTCTATGCCTATTATCCCCAGGCTGGATGCTGGGAGTTGCCTACTGGGGTAAACTGTAGCCATGTGGTTCTTATCTTTGGGAAGCTTGCAGTGTATCAACTGTGCTATTAAACAGCTTCTTAAAGTCACTTAACCTCTCTGAGCCTCAAGATCAACAAGAGGGTGGGATAAGAGGATTCAAAGAACCAACACATGTGAACTTGCTCCACAAAGGGCTGTTTAAACACAGTGTTCAATATTGATGTTTTCTACCACGTGGATACCACAAAACACTTATTCTATACAGAGCACTAGCTAGGAAGAATGACAGCCTTTACTTTTCCTCTTATCGCCCTCCATATCCACTTGCTGCTACAGCAACCCCTCAGCTTCCTGAAGACAGACTAAGGGCCCTTTGACCAACCGAACTACCAGATAGTCCAAGTTCTATGGTGAAACATCAGCTATACCAAGGTAAGCAGGTTTCTTTATCCATTCATTTTACCAACACTCATTGAGTGCCATGCACTTGTGGTGTATCCTAATGAGGAAACCAGGAAAAACATTGTAACAGTTGACTTAATTGCTTGATTTTAAATTACAAGTCCTAAGACACTAATGTATGAAAAGACTCACATTGGTTATGTTCCTCTTTAAGAAAACCAGAATTTCAGCTTATATGTAAAGATCCAAAAATTGTGCATGCAAAGAGAAGAGTAGCATATTCCTGGCAGAAGGGTCCTTACACACAAATTCCCATGTTGAGGAAGAACTGTGTATATTCAGGAAACAAAACTTCTGATGAGCATCAGAGGGAAAAGTTATAAAGTGGCAAAGATTGGTTAAAGCTACTTACCTACCCTCACAAACTCCACATACTCCAAAATTTCTCAGTACCTCTACTATGATAATGTGCACCACAGAGGTTGTAAGGGAAGGGTTCCCATGGGTACTTTCTCCCAAATGTGAAGTCAGCCCCAAATACCAACGCCCACATTGGCACTTCAGAAATGCTGAGATACTCTCATCAGTGGTATTGACTGTCCATTAAGACAAAGGTGACTTGAGATGTGTGCATCACCAGTCCTCTTGTTACAAGGCTGCTGACACCTGAGCTAATTATTCACAATGTCTGAGGTGGTTCTCTGAATTCTGGCAGGACCAATTTGCAGATGGAGATTTCCAGAGACGCAGGCTAGTGTTTGTGCCCTGGCAACTCAGTTATGTGTTCATACTGAAAAGAGACTAGTGAAAATTTGATTCTAAAATGACTAAGTTGGACAATGAAAATCAACTATGTTCTTATTTCCTAAGACAAAGACAGGGAAAAATGAGGGAAGCGCAACAGGTAGGGGCTGCTTTTATTGTCAGTAAATGTACAGTGAGGAAGAATTATTCTTTAGTAGTAGAAAAAAACTTTGCATGCTCCTTTTTAGATTTTAGCAACTAATTGCATATTCCCATTTTTGTTGTTTTGGGGAAAATGCTTAAAATTTACCATTTTCTGTATTTTCTGAATGAATAATAAGTATGTAGGGGCATACTATATTTTACCTTTATGATATTACCTGGGTTCTTAATAGTGGTATAATTTATGTTACACATTTTAGATCAAACTGGCTAATGAATGACGCAGATAATCACAAAAGTAAAAAGTAATTTTTGTCTAAAATGTACATGATCAGAATAGACTTTTAACAGTCTTTTCAATGAATTTTTGGCATTACTTCTATCTCCCCTTTCCTCTTAAGAACCTTCCCATTCACATTGTCAAGTACTAGCTTTGAATGGACTGCTCCCCTGCCCGGCCTCAAACCAAAAATTCAGAATCAGATAAAACACCTGATATTGTTCCACATTCAAAACTATTTCTAAAGGCAAGAGTCACTGTGTATACATAAGGGATGCAGTTTGAGGCCCACGGAGAGCTAAATTAATATCCTGGCTTGACCAGTTCAACTTACCGTACATCTTCATTTGCCCAGTAACACAATCTATAGCCAACTGCTAACCAAGTCAATATGTGGTAAGACTAACAGCCACCCTAACTTGCCTTGATAATTATTCTCCTTTAACTGACATAATATTCAATATACTGTTGTTGAGAGCAATAATGTTAAAATTGATGCCTTGAGGGCTACAAGACAATTGAGTTTTAGCCAGATAAAATGACTTGTACACTAACAGTGCATCAGAAAGTTCCACAGCCTTTGGATGGACATTTTATAGTCTGCCATTGCAAAAATGCTATATGCAATTATATTCAAAGTCATTTGTGTATACCTTATCATTACTACATATAATTTTAAATATTGGACAATAATAAAATAACATTGCTATAGAAGAAAAGGGTTTATTGTTAAGAGTCTAGCTCTAGCTCTTGTGTTCTTTTTTTAACAAAATGTGCATTTCGTCACTATATAAGTATTAACAGTTTTGCGTCCTGCAACCTTTTTTTTTTTTTAAACCAAGAGCTGTTTTCAAACAAGGAACAAGTGGGTTACAAATGCTAAATGACAAAAGCATCATTTAAATAAAATCTATATTACATCAATTCTATCAATAAACAAGACAGAAACTAAACCTGGAGTTCCTCTAATACAAACATCATCTACGATTTTGTGAAAATGTCATTTCTGGATTCTGAAAGGAGAAATACTACATTAAACTTGAGACTCTCAAAATATGTATCAAATGTATGAAATCAATCATAATTTAAGTATTATAACAAGTGACACTATCTTTTATATGTAATAGTTCACATCCAAATAAGAGACCTTACAAATTTTAGTTTACCATTTTTTTTTCAGTTTTCCTCTTATACTTAATTTCTCTTAGAATTTTGTATCTTTAAATTTTGGGCCCTCATACAACAAAATAAATATGAAATACATTTTAAAGGAGCACATTTTCTAGTTTTGCCTTAGGTATGTTGAAATGCGAAGGGAAATTAACACTTCAATAATTATTTCAGTTAAAAAAAAAAACAGGTACTATTCAAGGCAGAACAGTGTCCACTGCCCAAAATAACCAGTAGATTCTATACTTACTACCAGGAAATGCCACACAGTGAACTTGGTTGTTAAGATGGCAAATAAGCTTAGCCATGCACTGGCTAAGCTGACCTATTTGTTCGGACACAATGCATATGCTCTAGGCCTGTTAGGCAAGAAATACACCTGGAACTGAAGTACCACATTGGTGACGGGAACAGGCAGCACAGTGGAGGCACCAGATAGGGGCATGACACCTGTAGAATTTGCATAAAGAAAAGACTATCTGCTAGGCATGATAACTTTCATTCAAACATCTGTACAAGGTTTGTTCCTTCACGTAGGGTAAAATTCATCCAGAACAGACAATATGGATCAAGTTGTAGAAATCACTGCAGAAGGTTGTGGCACTGTATGCATCTCCAGGCCTTGGCCTCTGCAGGGCTGTGAAACTGGCTCTGTGCTCTATTGTTTTGGGCCCCTTCCTCCTGCATCTTGTGGCCTCTCATTTCCCCTGATCACCCAGGACTTATCTTCCCACTTATCCTGAAATGTCCCCATCCTGAGGCAAATGAGATAATGCTTATGAGTGTGCTATATAAACTAAAAACGTAAGGTATAATAATTATTATCATTATCACCATCTTCATCTATTCTTCCGAGGGCCAAGTTTTCTGTGCCTTCCAAACTGAGACTCCCAGTAAACTAAGAAATAAATCTACCCTGGGAGCAGACAGATTATTCCATTCCCCTACCTTTTCTACTTCCACTTACCTTCCCTTCACTGCTCTCCCGTCCTGGACAGGATATCGACAGGAATTTGTGTTTGGAGGCCAGGTTAAAGCGCAGGGCAGACTTGAGGCTCTCTACTCTTCACATACCAAATTGGCAGCCAAGCCCTTGCATATAGCACAGTGTGGTGCAGAGAATAAACACAGGGAATCATCTCTAGCACTATCCAAGGCTGATGCAGCCTCAAACAATTTTTTGGTAGGACTAAATTCTCTCAGTATTATCCACATGGGAAATCTCAAAAATCACTGCAGAGGCTCCCTTTTCAAATTGAGATCTCCTGCAACAGGAGGTGGTTCTTCTTCATTATCCAGTATAGTCCTTTTGGGCTCTGGTATCTCCTAGTATGCTGTTCTCAATAATCACCCTCTTCAAGGATTGCAGGAAGACATATAGTCACAAGTATGAGGCAAAGTATACAATGCAAAGTGATGCATGACATACTACAGAAATAACAACAAATGAAGAAACGGATGTAAGGGGTGGGGTGGCTGAGGGTCTCCCAGAAAAATCTTCAGACCCTTTCCAGGTTGGAAGTGCTGTGGATATAAACAAGGGGCTCAATACTGGAAAGCTAGCTGCTGTGAAAACTAAACCAAATAAATCACCCTGTCTGTATCTTTCAGGAGGGAACTCTGAAAACTGTGCTGGGAGGGTTCACTGGTTATAAAAGCAGGGAGTGTACACAGGTTACAGTTCTTTCTTTGATTTGGATGAAGAAACCAAGTGAGGAGACACAGTCAATCGAGACAGACACCATGCCTACAAAATAAACGTGAGGAAAAACCCCAGTCAACCCAGGTGAAGTGTAATCTCAGATGTGCACATGCCCATCACCCACCTTGGAGCCCGCTGCCCCCTCTTCACTGGTCTACAATAAGACTTTCCCGAGAAGCAAGAAAGCCCATGCTGCAGAGAGAGTTGAATTAAAAAGGGAGCAAAGTGATGCTACCAGAAGCTGTTCTAACACACACCACGGCAACCCAATGGTGGCCTGCAGGGAGCTCTTGCCTTCTTTGTGATTCCCTGGCAAGCTGCTGAAATGATCACTGTAACCGGAGGAGCCTGAGCAGACTTAGGTCGAGGAGACGCAATCCAAGGACCCATCCCCTCCTGGAGCTGGCCCCAGACACCTGTATTCAAGTGCTCCCCCTACCTGAAGGATGTATCCCCTGACGTAGTCCCGCAGAGTCCAGCCCAGGCCGTGCAGAATGTGCAGCACCTCCTCTTGCTTCAGGACGCTAAAGAGCCGGTCCAGAAGGATCTTTAGCCGCACAGGCACTGCTTGCGTCCCATAGAGCATCAAGCTGCTGATGTCAAACACCACGTTGGACTGCACAATTTCCACTTGGGTAGGGTGGTACAGGTGCTGCGTGCTGAGCTTATCCAAGGCTGTAGTGGTCCCACCAAAAGTTCCAGGGTTGGGAGGTGGGGATAAAGAGGAGAAACAGAGACAGAGAAATTAGAAACACTACTGGAAGTTATTCAGCCCTGCATTTCTACAGATGGATGATAATAACCACAGATTTAGTTTAAGCCCCATCTTAGCAATGCAAATAGTTCTCTTCCACCACCCTCCCTGTTTCACCTACTTGTTTGCTTTCTTTCCATTTGGTGCTTATAAATTGCACCAGACAGCAAACACAAAACACACATTCAACCTTCAGAAAGAGAGACACTGAGGATGTTTCTAAATCGCTGTGGCTCTGAAAACCTGACGGCGTAATCTGCTAACTGGACTTTGACTCCAGTTGCCAGTGTCCCCCACCTCCTCCCACAAAAGCAAAACAAAACAACAACTACACTGCAAACAACTGCTAATTCATATCATACAAGGAGGCTTAACCAATACTAGTTGTTTTTTCCAGTTAGATTTAACCCTTAAAACACCTGAATGGTTTAAAGAAGAAGAAGAGTGTCTTCTTCAGGCTATAGGAGCCAGAGACCTTATTTAAAAAGGATAAAGAAAGTTGAGAGCTGGGTGGAAGGTTAGTAATTTAACCCAAGTTAAGCTAAGGGGATTCACTGAAAACTTGGTTCTCCCAATTGCATTCTTGCTGTTCAGGTGTAAAGACAGTGTTTGAATTCACTGGCAAGTTTTATGAAAGTTGGAGGAAATTCGTCATAATGTCGTCACTTTGTTAACAGCTCTGACAAAGGTATCAGATGAAAATGGAAACAAATGACTAAAATCAAAATTTGAGAATTTCTATGTATTTCCACCAACTGTTTGAGAGAAAGATGAGCATGAAGGTGTCAATTGGTAAGGTTTCTGGAATACTTTTAATGAGACTAATATTTCAACAATGGGACTCTTTTTCTACACAAATTTAAGCAATGCCATCTCTTCCCTACAGCCAGAAGTCAAGATAAGGTCATAGATTCTAGTCTACATTCATACTTGACTTACTGGGAACCCTGCTGCTGCTAATGTAATTACATTTTGTCTCAGTTTCTTTAAAGTGAACAATTAAGATAACATTGTGTCATAGGGGTTCAAAGAGATGCTGCAAGGATGAATGAGATAAAGGATAAGCAGCACTCTGAACTCCTTAAGAGAACACAAAAGACATTATGGTTAAACTGTCAGAATTATACATGTTTGCCCTTTTAGAGATTAAAAAAGATAAACATGTAAGCCTGAAAGATGGTCATTTGACCTCATCGTGAGTCAGGCAAGTGGGTATCAGACCACAGCCAGGCTCAAATCATAACTACACCTGAGGTTTCTATGAATTCTAAAATACTGCCTGGCCCTTCCCAACTGCTTCCCCTAACACCTCATCCCATAGTAGAGCGCTATAGTGCATGCACACTCTGAGCAGCTGCTATTTTAATATTTGCAGTTTTCCTGCATAATAATGGAGCTACTTAAAAGTGCATGCACACAGATTTTTTCGTATTTCAAATGTATTTTTCAGGGTTCCCCCTCCACTCGCGTTTCCTCCTGACTTGTGGTCACTAGAGAGTTCATGTACTCTTGATAAATTGCTTTCTTACATCCACAGTGTAAAGGCCCTTATCATTTACCCGCTGGCTTCATTCAACACATTTACTCCCAGGAATACTTTGTCAAAGAGTTCGGGTTTCCTCATACTTCATTTCTTGCAGCTGATTTGTCTGATCTTTCCTATTCTAGTGGTTAAGTCAACTTTGAATAAATAGCCTTAAAAATTAATTTAACGTTCGGGAAAGATAAGGGAATCACAAGCCTAGGGATTGAAGTCTTCTCTCACTCCACAGGGCATTTAGGCTGTAAAAAAGCAGGAAAAGGGTATTATTATCCTTGTTCTTCTTCAAGTACAGCTTAACCACTCAGCCTTCTGATGAGCAGCTGATCTGTGAACAGAAACCAGTGACCAGGCAGGAAAACTGTGCTCCTCCTCCATTCCCTTTGTCAACCAGCTTGGACCGCACATGGAACACACTGCTACAAACACAATGAAGATGAAATTGAGAGAACTCAACAGAGGGGAAATAACAGAACACCAAACCCTGATTTCCATGCATGCATTTGGCACCTTGTATTCCTGCATCAGGTATACACAGGTGTATGTTCAAAGCTGTTCAAGTGCTGGGTGGAAAACTTAACTCTACTCCCTCTAACTCATGAAAAAAAGGTTACTGGTTAGAAAAGATAAGAGGACCAAACCATTGAGGGTACAGGGAAAAGGAATGTTTTCAGAGAATTGAAAAAGCACAGATGGAACAGGTAAGACAGTATTTCCCTATACATGCTTTTCAGAATACCAGGGAGTGAGAATATTATAAAGACATGACCAGATTTTTCTTCATAAGTATGCCATATGTCAAGAAGTAGTAATACTGTAATAAACCATATAAATGTATAGCAGGGGTCAATGACTTTATTTATTCCATAGGACCAAAGAGTAAATATTTGGGGTTTGTGGGACATATGTTCTCTTTTACAACTACTCACCTTTGCTACCAGAGCACCAAGGCAGACACACACAGATAAGACATAAAGTAGTTGGCACCTCTGTGTTCCAATACATCTCTACTTACAGACATAGGCATCTGCCTAGCTTTGGACCTGCTATGAAGGATGAACATGTGAGCCAGTTACTTAAAGAAACTCAATAGTAGACAATGAAAAAAAGCCTTAAAATTATAGTTTAGGAGATAGTTACCAGAAGAGGCAGACATGGGAAGTAACAAACTGCTCAACTTGTAGATATCAACTGTAAATTTCAGAATGAAAATATCAGAAATTATGATCTGTCAAATTTCTTGAATGTATCAAAATCTTCTTTAAATCATACTGATCACAGATCATTTTTGCCAGATCATACTGAGTCACCAAATTGGGACAATATGGGGGTAAGTAGCCTTGGCAGGACTAAAGTTAGGAGACAATTACTCTAAAAGTTATGATATCTATAAGCTGAGAACTGATCTTCTGCCTGATTACATGATCATGTTTGTGGAGGATCCCTGTGTGGCTCTTGTAGGGTTAGAATATGAGTCAAGCCAATGGAAATGAGGAAAAGATAGGGCAAAAACATGTTCTTTAAGATGGAATTGGAAAGTTTTTTTTTTTTTTTTTTTAATTTGGAAGGCAGAGAGCCAGAGAGAGAGAGACAGAGATAGAGATCATCCATCCACTGGTTCACTCTTCCAGTGCCTGCAACGACAGCCAGGGCTGGGCCAGGCCAAAGCCAGGGGCTGGGAACTCATCTGAATCTCTCATGTAAACAGCAGAGACTCAACTACTTGAGCCATCACTACTGCCTCCCATGGTGTGAATTAGGAAGAAGCTGGGATCCTAAGTGAAGTCAGGACTCTGGTATGAGATCCAGGTGTCCTTAGTGGCATTTTAACCACTATGGGAAATACTCACCCCAAGATGTTACCTAATTTAATCCTTTATGTGCCTAACCATCTGCATACTTATCTTATTCCAATGGTACTGTCATGATCCCACTTCCAAATGAAATCTTAACCAGAACTGGCAACATAAAATATATAAAACTGAAGCTGCTGGGGACGGCACTGTGGCGTAGCGGGTTAATGCCCTGGCCTGAAGCAACAGCATCCCATAAGGGCGCCGGTTCAAGACCCGGCTGCTCTACTTCCAATCCAGCTCTAAGATATGGCCTGGGAAAGCAGTAGAAGACGGCCCAAGTCCTTGGGCCCCGGCACTCGTGTAGGAGACCCAAAAGTAGCTTCTGGCTCCTGGCTTCGGATCACTGCAGCTATGGCCATTGTGGCCAATCGGGGACCTCTCTCACACTCTATCTCTGCCTCTCCCCTCTCTGTGTAACTGACTTTCAAATAAATAAATAAATCTTTAAAAAAAAAAAAAAAACACTGAAGCTGCTCTTGGTGAAGCTGGAGTGAGTATGGCTCATAGAATTTCTAGCTGTTGGTTACTATCCTTTTCCCATCAGCTTGTCTGAAGTATCTCAGTGGGACGGACTCCAAAAATCAATGTCCTGCCTGTTCTGTGTCCACGTCCTGTAATTCTGGGAACAGAAACTGGATTCCCCTCGAAGGACTCACTTTTCCTCTGCACTCAATGCCAGTAGTTCATGGAACTGCATATTCCTTTGCCATGGCTGTAAAACCAGCAAATATCTCAGCCCCCCAACCACAGCCAACTGGTTCAAGAACAGGCAAGTGACCTAAGTCAGGACAGTGATGGTGAATCTAGCATTTAGTTAAAACTATAGGATTCCTTCTGTTTCCTCTACGTTCATAGTGAGAAAGTATGCTTGAGAATGTGAATCAACTGAGTCTGATGGCAAGACAATCTGAAAAAGACCAACTGCTGATAATACTGCTTGATTCAGAAGATTTGGCAGTGCTGAAGTTGGCATTACCCTTGGAATTTTCAGTCACTTGAGCAAAAAAAAAAAAAAAAAAATCAACCAACTTTACCCTCTCCATCTCTCCCTGCCTCGGGCTCTGTCTCTGTTGCCTTGGAGTGGCAGTCTGTAGCTTGAAACTAAAAGCACCCTAATAGGACTCCTTTTGGGGGTAGTTCTCCGCTGGATACCACGTAATTCCAAAGTAGCTGTCAGTGGTTCAACTAAAGGCATGTGAGTTCCTCGCCAAATGCAACTCACAATTTCTGCAATGACTACAATAATGGGTCTCCTAGACAACTGCACGTCTCATACAAATTTACAAAGGTGATGGATGTCTTCAACAGGAATCAGTGATGAAAACTGATGGTGGTGGGAGGAGTCAAGGCATGACCATTTGAGTTCCAAGTACATGTCAGATATCATTCTAGGGGCTCAGTTATCTCATTTCATCTTTTAATTAAGGCACACACATAATATTACTTTGTCCTATTCCAAAATTACAGGCTCAATGAAGTTAGGTAACTGCCCTAAGGTCACTCAGAAACTTCACCCAAGGAAATT